AAAAATGCGTAGAGTGAATGATGGCGTATGTTTTGTTAGCTTGTAAAGATTACAACAGAGGGACATTAGTAAATATTTTTTAGGGTTTTCTCCCTTTAATTAATTTCAACAGAGTACTAAAAGCTTTTCTTGTGTAACATTACCCTATTTGATGTCTTTAAATGACGCACGACTCGCTCCGCTGAAACGAATCGTCTCCCCTGCTAATGATGTCACAAGGAAGAAACAAGTAGAAGATGTATCGCTACTAAAACCTAACAAATAGGCTACACATTTAAAATTGTGTTTGCCATCATGGAACACACGGGTGGGAGGGTAGGTCACTACCCTTTCTCCTTCTCATTTTGTTTACAACACGGATACAAAGAGAAAAAAAAAATATCGCGCCACCCTGATTGAGACATAAAATACAAAAAAAAAAAGAGACTTTCTTTATTTCACCTGTTTCACAGTTTGCTCCGCGGAAAAGCTACCTCACTTATTATCTAACCACCCATGTGCGTTGGGGTATAGCTATTGCCCTATACTCAGATACCCATACAATGGGTATTGTGCTCACGGCACACAATAAAAGGCGGTCTCGTGCCTTCGTTGCACTTAAAAAATACATAGAGTGAATGACGCGTGTATGTTTTGCAAGCTTGTAAATATTATACCATAGTATTTTATCGGCTTAGGGAAAATAAAATTAAACAAGACTTGTTGTGATTTGATTTTAGTTTCATTTGTGTGTGTGTGTGTGTGTGTGTGTGTGTGTGTATGTATGTATATGTATGTGTATATGTGAGTCTCAAAAAAAAAAAAAAAAAAAAAAAAAGTGTAAAATGTCAACGCCAGGACAACAAGTCATAATCAAAATGGACTAATTCAATACATATCTATGAAAAGTAAAAAATTATAACTTATTACAAGTATAAGTGCACAACCATTTTGATAAAAGCTTTTAAGCAAACCTTTCAGTAAATTTAATTGTAGGTACAGCTTTTCTTCTAAACGACATCAGTTGGATTAATATATGCTAGACCCGATTTATTTCTCACTGATTTGCGCTAAAATTTTGATCATAGGAAAATGGTCTTATTTTAAGAGGTTTCAGTGGGGTAGTGATGACTTTAAAAAAATAATAACAGTGTATATAAATATAATATATACCATGCTGGTCATTATCTCACAAATCCTAGGGCCGAGTATTAATAAGACAATTGGGAAAAAAAACAATTATAATCATAACAATCAAAATATTTTTCTAAGATTAACGCTGGTGTAACACATATATTACTTATTAAACCAAACTGCTATTGATCATTTTAATTAGCTATTTAGTCTGACAATTATTTTTAATTAAGACAAAACTTTTATGTTAATAAAATAAACCTAGTTCTGAACTTACTTAAAACAATGTAAACACTTAAACAAAGAAGTTTACAAAACTTGAGATTTGAAACTTAACCGACTTTTTGTTTACAAAATCAAAGACATAACCAAGGGTATTTAGTGTAATTTCTATGTTAAACCATTGACATCCTAAATTACTTTTTAAATTGTTAATGATAATTGCTTAATATACTCTTTGATGTCTGACCCTGGTCACTATTTTAGAAAGAAATCGCTGTTTTAAAAACACTAGGAAAACTTAAAACGTCGTGAGACGCGCGCAAAGCACGCGACATGTATTTTTAAATGTAAACAAACGCGCACGGACACTGTTCCATTGTCGCTATGAAATACTTCTGAACCTACATAAAACAATGTAAATACTTAAACAAAGACGTTTACAAAACTTGAGATTTGAAACTTAACGGACTTTTCGTTTACAAAGACATCACCAAGGGTGTTTAGTGTCATTTCTATGTTAAACCATTGGGATCCTAAATTTACGGGACGCTACTCGTGGTTGTTAACTAGACTGTTCTAGAAAAATTCGACTCTGCCTTCGTTTCTATATTAGTTTTATTTAGTAAAGAGATAACTGTGCCCCTGACAATTATTCTGACCAAATCAATAGGAACGTATATAGTCATGAATGAAGGGGGCAGCGTGGTAGAACTTACGACTGCTAACCCAAAAGTCCCGAGTTCGAATCCAGGTTCAAAGACAGTAGACTGTCCCCGAGTCTACCCAACTCTTATGGGTACCTAACTTACGTTAGGGAAAGTAAGGGGGTTGGACATAGTGATGAACACACTATCACTTCATATGCCGAGATCACAGAAAGAAAAAAAAAATTATTTGTTGATCTTCTATATTAATATTTTTTAGAAAATTATCAAAATATAAACAAAATGTATTTAAATATATATAAGTGGTCGTCAAAATGATGGTTATAGAACCTTAAAGTTAAAAGGTGTGTAAAAAATAAATAAAAAAACAATGAAAACAATGAAAACGTTTTGATTACAACATATGTAAATATTAAAAACCAACAAAGCAAACAGCCACAACAAATAAAGCAATCACACTTAACACAATTAACACGACTAGACAAAAAACAGGACCAAAACAGACTGATAGTAAATAGTAACGACTATTTATAGATCAAATGTATGAGAAATATGGCCTATTGTAAAGCAAGCCTAGCTGAATAAATTATTTTTAATGACTATTTAAACATATCTTTCAAAAAAAAAAATCGATATTCTATTGTTTGTCGTCGCGGCCGTAAAGGAGCGTCACGGAAGACAATAGGAGGAGGGGAACACCTGCTCCTGCTGGAGTATTTTACTATATAACATGTCTGCTCTGGCTGCTCAATATTTTACTATATAAACATGTCTGCACAAATGATACCCAAAGGGGACCTACTATACTACTACTGTACCCTAAGTCTCGTCTACTCCGTCATGCCGTATTAGTCGCGTCATACGCATGTTACATACATTCTATCAAACAAATTAAAAAAACATAGCAAATACTTTCAAACCGTATCGCCTGCTGTCAATATGAATTAACTCTAAAGCAGTGTTTCTTAACCTTATGAACAGTGTTTCTTCCAGACTTTTTTCTCCGGGGGGGCACTTGAAATTTTCGGGGGGGGGGGGGGGGCGGACACTGTTAAAAGTATATATTTTCTATATAAATTATATAAATTTCATTTCGTTCAAGGGGGGCCTGGAAGAAACTCTGCTTATGAGGTACCGAATAAACTTTTGGAGGTACCGAACCCCATCAGTTTCAGATGAGCATTCACCGAACCCTTCTTAAAAATTATATCGTCCGCACTGACAAAATCCTATCGTGAATCAAGAGTCGGGCGTGTGTCTTGATCTCAACCGAACCCCTGAGACTAGCACACCGAACCCCTGGGGCTCGATCGAACCTAGGTTAAGAGCTACTGTTCTAAAGTCCTTATACTTTACTCGATTGTTACTGAGGGCACGTACATTGGGACAAGCTGGGTAACACTAATACAACATGGCAACATTATTATAATATAGCTTGGTCCGTATATCCAAGAAGCTAGTAAAGCCCCTTTTAGAACATGAATGTTGACGTTAAAAATTTCCAACACTACCCAAACTCAACACGTATTGATATAGTTTTTGTTGTTGTTGATAATCAGAAAATTCGGTATAAACAGCGGCTTTAGATGACAAGAACCCCGTACCTCCAGAACTTTGACACAAACAGACCCCATGGTCCCGTGCAAGTGTGTAGCACTGACACATATCAGTATATGCCTGACCCAGACAGGGCAAGATTTAAGTTCACTTTTGGACGTAAATTCAGGCATTTTTTTAAACACTGGCTCAACCCAATTCAAGACAGGTCCTCACCTGGATTCCACAGGGCAGGAGGAGGAGAGGCAGACCAAGAAAGACCTGGAGACGTGACCTGGAAGAAGACACCAAGAAGTTTGGATGTACCTGGGGACAGTTGGAGAGACTAGCCCAGGACAGAGACGCTTAGAAAGCTCTTGTCAGCGGCCTATGTCTCAGGAGGGGCGACAGGCAAACCTAACCTAACTAAACCCAATTCAGGAATAATCATTTCACTGATTAAATTTTAAAATTTGCACTGATTGTATTCAGGCAAATCGCCGACCCTGACTAAACTCAATTGATTACATTTTATTCAGGCATATTTTTTTAAACCCTAACTAAACATAATTCAGGCATAACTTATTTCTCTGATTAAATTCTATTCAGTTATATCTTTGAACCTGGCTAATGGCAATTCAAATATATCTTTGATCCATAGAGACCCCAATTCAAGTATATCTTTAACCTACATAATCCCCAATTAAAGCATATCTTTAATCTATAAAAACCCCCATTAAAGCATATCACAAAATTAACCAACGGACAAAAGATAAATCTGTTCTACCTACATGTCTGGTGGAGGGTGGTGGGGGGTAGAGGCAGTTCAGAAGATCAAAAGCTCTAGAATCTGTTGAATTACCGTCCTTGACAAACATTCAATAAAATCCGTTCCCTTCTTTAAGGGGAGTTTACAGGATAATTTCTATTTTTTTAAATTATGTATTAATCTGTACTTTCTTTAGTTTAGGAACTTCTGTTTGCATAGTTAAGAGAAAAAAAAACATTAAAAATTTTTTTTTTTTTTTTTTTTTTGCTGTAGATACAATTGTTATGTAATAAGTTACATATATTTTAAAATGTAGGTATCTTTAAAAGTATTGTAGTCACAATCATGAAATTTTGTACAGTTGGTCTTTATTATGTTTTAGATGATGTAGAGAGAGCATTTTTAAATAGACCTAAAACTTTTTAAGATGCCTAGTACCCTTGAGGGTCATGAAAAATGAACTTGTATATTTTCAGAAAATGGACATTCTAATTTACTTTTTGCTAAATCTGTAAGGAATACATGAAAATGCCCTCATAGGATAATAGAAAAGTATAATGGCAATATGCATGCCAAATCTCAATTCATTATCTCTAAAAACAAAAAAGATACCTAACAATATGTGTTCAAAAATATTAAAAAATGCGAAACAGAGAAAAACGCAAAATAAGAAGTCAGAATAAAATTGTATTTAATTCCTCTTCAACAAGAAGTTAAAAGTTACATTTTTCATCAATGGCAACCATCTGGCAATAAATAGAGATAAATAAAAGTAAATTTAGACAATTAATAATGGTAAAATTTTACAATTTTAAACGATAACACCCTTGAAAATAAAAGACGTAAAAATCCCAAAAAATAAATTTTCAGGAACAATAAATATTTTGAATGAAAGATGCTATAACATTGTTTTAAAACATTTATGTTAAAAGGGAACATCCAAAAAAGCTGTTAAATAATAATAATAGGCATTTACAAATTAATTCATAAAGATTACATTGATGGAAAAAAAATTATGAAAAGTCAAAAACCCCCTGCAATATAAGAAGCCCCACCCTCCTCCACCTGTCTGGACTCATTTTCTTTTGTTTGTGCCAGTTGCCTGGCTATCCTCCTCCTTTTGCTATTAGACTCAATGGCCAAATCTGCTTTTCTGACTCTTTTTTCGTCACGTAGCTGGCCTAATCTGGCGCCTTTCTCAGACAAGCTGCAACCCACTGCTGTTTGAAATCTATGGGTTGCAGCAGAACCCTGGTTGAATTCGCCAATGGCGAAAGCTGTGCCTATCGTAACCCTAGACAAACCATTAAAAATATGTTTAGGGCAGCGACTCCAAATCATGCCATGAAGGCTCTCATTAGTGTTCTGCGTCTTCCCCAGCAAGCACCGCTTCAACAGAGCTGGCTCTGTTAATTTTCTGTAGATTGCTTCCACATATGGAGCAACCTTTTCATTTAGGTAGGTTGTCAGCCTACCTTTGTGTGAAGGCACAGACAAACCTTTAGCCTTCGACCTCTGATAAAAACACCAGGAGTCTTGGCCCCCTGGGCACTTATGATGCTGAGGTGTTTTGTCAGTCGAAGTTGAATGAAAAAAAGCAGCCCAAATGGCATCGCTCATCTCTTGTACTGAACCATTGTATGTCCTGACAGCCTTGGTGTAGTAGCTCTGAAGAAGACCCATTTTGGTCTAAGAAGAAAACAAAAACAACTTTTGATTACAAATGCATAAGTTTTTTTGTAAAAATATCTTGCAATTCTAAAAAAATAAATACAACTAGGCTTTCCAAGTTATTACCTGTGTCAGGTTACCAAGGCCAGCTCCTCCTAATCTAACACCTCTCTTGTTTTCAGCATTGACTAGGTTGCGGAGTGCTGTATTCAGCCTCTTGGCCACATGATTGATGCACTCTTGCTTCTCAATCATGTGCTTGTATGGTCTGCTCTCAAGCAGAGCCGAGTAAGTTTTTGTGTCCCCATCGGACACAATTGTCGTATATCTCAGCTGGTGCCGAGCCTCTGATCTGCCCCACATCTTCTTGGCAGCTTCCACTTCCATGGCACCAGACGAACCACTAAAATTTCTGGAGCACTTTGCCTTGTGTCCCTCGTACCAAGTCAAATGTTTCTCTGGGTCAGATTTCTTCAAGTTATCCCCAACTGTCGAACATTGCTGATTTGATAGAATAAAATGAATTTAGAATATTGAATCTTCTCAATAATTATACAAGCAACATTTTAAAAATAATTCTTTTCACTCATAATACATACCTGGCAATATGTTGACATAACATGTGAGTCAATTGCAAGCCCTGTCTTGACATCTATGACGACACCAACACCCAGCTTTGATGTGTGTCCTCGCTTGGCCCATGTGCCGTCGTAACTGACAGCTATATTGTGTGGGTTTTCACTTTCAGAATATGCTGCTTTTACTTTCTCTGCAGACTCATCAAAAATTGAATTCAGCTCTACAGACATGGCCTTCTCTATCAGTTTTACGTGGTCATTGAATGCTTGGCAGGTCAGCATTTCCAGTCCCATAACCTCGGAAAATTTAGCCAGGTGTGCATATCCTATGCCTGCATACAAAGATGCAAACACAATGCCCCTGTTATGTTGAAACACTTTGGCTGAACACTTCTTTGAGGTGTAGGCTTGTGACCTAATACTTTGACAATGTCCACAGTAAAGTTTTACTGGTACTGCCAGTCCTTGAATACGATCTGCATCGCATTGCAGTTTGAGGTCACTGCTGCCACAGTCTGAGCACACAACACCTTGAAGTAGACCTTGAAGGCAATTCAAGTCAACTATAGTTGTGGGCAGAGTTGACTGTACAGTGGGTGCCTTCACATCAGCAAAATACGCAAGTTTGCGCCGCGATGCCGACATGTTTGATGTGGGTGGTGTTGACGAAACGTTTGGAGTGACTGGTGAAAGTGGAGCCACACTAGAGGCAGGGATGTTTGGTGACCCCTCCATTTTCTTTAGCCTAGCAGCATTCATGTTAGCTATTTTGGTCCTCATGTTTGAAGTAGTGTTCTTTTTAGGCATCTGAAATTTTAAATAATTGATACTGATACATTAAAATAAATTAAAACAAAGCTAAATCTTGTAGTAAGTAGGAGAATCGAGTCAGTTGTAGATCTAGATCTAGCTAGAGTAGACTAAATCTAAGATTCTAGATTTTATAGTTTATAGTTATCTAGAATCTAGATTTAGATCTATTCTAGATTTATATCTAAGATCTGTTTATCTGACAATGTCATCATAGCATACAATAACATGATTTCTTTTAGTTTTAGAATCTAGAAAATCTAGAATAGATCTCGATTCAAGATCTAGATCTAGATCTAACTAAATTACTGAATAAATGAGTCTGGTTGAAATTAAAGTTAAAAAAATAATAAAAAGCTTTACGTACCTTCAATAATGTTAGTTATGTCTCAAATTTGATAAAATAGGCGTAGAAATACTCAAAATATGAGAGGTAGTGCTGAATCGAATGTATCGTGACAACTGCTAAATCTCATGTGTAAACGATCGCCATTTTGAAAACCCAATGCATCGTGGGTAAAATGTTACTAAAATTAGACTTCGACCAATCAAAACGGAGGATTTCAAAATATTGACATTCTTTCAGCCTCTTTGTTGAAATGATTTATTTTTAGACATGTTCACTAGTAGGTCAGTTAGGTGCAGATTTGGATGGGGTTTAATTTGATACCACATGGTCGAGGTTTCGCACAATACAAAATGGCTGTTGCTATGACCAAAATTGACATAAAAAGGGATTTTTTCAGCTTTTGGTTATTTTCCTGTAATACACCACTATCAAATAAAAATATTTTTAAAATACTTAGAGGACATTAAATGTTCTGAAATACTTGGGATCGATTTAATAATATATTTTCCTAGCTAGAAACGCAATAAAAAAAAAATGACAATTTTTTTGGGTCTCCTTCATTTTTCCCTTTAAACCTCCCTTAACATAACATTGACGGAGTTGCGGAACTTTAGGCCCACATCGCGGGGGCAAGATCAAGTTAACAAGGCCCTTTATTTTTTGTGCCTGGTGGTTGTGGGAGGGGGGCGGGACGAGGGAGGGGGAGGGGGTTGAGTATGGGTAGGGGGGTAGTTTAACCAGGCTTGTCGATATTGTTTTTGATGAAGTGGATACATATGTTTGTTCTTAGGTATAGAAGGACGTGACAAGAGTTTGAAGAGATGTCTTGCTAAAATAACTTGTTAATTTTTTTTCCCCTTTACCTTCACTCTCAACCTCATCTGCATGGTATAGAGAAGGGGCGGGTCCCCAAGGGGTCGGGTGGGGGGTGGGGGGGGGGGGGGGGCACGGGACGGACACCCCCTCGAGTTTGTTGCGTGTCAACACAGGGCAGTCAAAAGTGCTCAATATCAAAGGGCAGCAATCCACGCAGCATCATAATTCTGGTCTACAAAACGCTGATCACGGGGCGCAACTCTGCGGTAGACAAACGCGCTGGAGTTGTTTCCCTTCTCAAAACTGAAAAAAAACCCTCCGATTACACGTTCACCTGATCTTCACCATCACGGGTGGGTTTGGGGGGGGGGGGGGGGGGGGGGAGGGGGGAGGGGGGAGGGGGGGGGGTTAGAAGAGTGTTGGATTTTCGAAAAACTCCTCAAAAAAAGGATGATCAAAGGGTAAAAAAAAAAAGCAGTGGTATTTTGAAGAAAAAAAAAATTGGTTATATAGAGGATAGTTTTTGTTGACATTGCCGTTAGAAGGGACCAACTCGACATCAGAATGAGCAATCAGAGGCCGCCGGTGCTAATATAATATGTGTACACGGCGTACATCTTGTACGGGTTGGTACTCTGTTGGTTTAGACGTACCACACCAGGCGTTCACATTAGTCATATTGGGTGGCGAGGGTTGCACGGGACGTAACACTAACGGGAAATCACGAACAGAATCTGGTGCCTGGTTCTCGTGCTAAGGATAACCATCTTTAAAACAAGGGGCAAAGGTGATTGGATGTGTTTTTGTGATGTGGAATAAGTCGCACAACTTGTGCCTATACATTGTAGTCGTACACGGTACTCATATATTGTACTCCTACGTGTACACATACATTGTACTCATACACTGTACCGCACATTGTACTCATACACTGTACATGTAGTCATACACTTTACATATACTCATACACTGTACACATACATTGTGGTCATACACTGTACCCCACATTATAGTCATACCCAGACACTCTACTCTAACACTGTACTCTCAAACCTTACACAGACACTGTACTAGACACTGTACTCACAGAATATACCCACACGATGTACCATCACATTGTACTAACACCTAAACCCAGACACTGCTACAGTTCTTCAACTATTTTTTTAAAATTAGCTCAATAATCCAGAGCTCCAAAAATTGACTTGTTCCATGTCTCCACGTTAATTTAAAAAAAAGACCCGCTGACAAAATGACCCGCTCCAAGAATCGACGCAACTAACAAAATGACCCGCTGACAAAATGACCCTCTCCACAACTCTCTGATCTTCTGCCCATCACCCTCACGGTAACACCAACACGGGAGAGTCTTGACGAGCATGAGGGGGGCCTTAGGTTTCACGTGTCCTTGTATTTTATACCTTTCTTTCCGCAGGCGTGACCTTGACCTACAAGGTTTAAAAAAAAAAGCCTGGGCGTTTGGAACATCCGGTTTTCAAAACGGGCGACGACGACACATTTTAAAGACGCAATCGATTCCACCCCCCCCCCCCCCCCCCCCCCCCCCGAGGTGTTTGATATCTTGTAGTTAAAACATTGCAGGTCGGCTAATATTTCTTCAAACTTTGTTCCCCCACCCCCTCCCTCCTCAAGCTTTTGTATAGTATCAATCAAAACACGAATATCGATTTTCTAACGGGTTTTTACGGGTGCCGTTAAACTGATATCGATTACAGGTTTTTGTAATCGCGCTTGACGCCGGTATTCGAAACGTGTTTATCCGGTACCGGGCAAAGTGTTTAAGCACGCGCGTGACACAACAGGCTGCTCACGCTGGCGTAGGGGGCGTGGGGACGAAACACTTTTACTCCGTGACCCACACTCATCGCCGTCCTTAAGGGGTTGTTCTCATAACATTTATTGTTATTTTTTTCCGGTTCGTGAAGACACATGTGGTAGGTGAAGTAGAGTTCATGTGTTTCAATGACCTCGGTATTCAAAAGGGATGGTGTGGTAAGTCACCGTCCTTAGTGGTTGTTATAGCATTTATTTTCACGGTTCGTGAAGACATACGGGGGCAGGGGAAGTAGAGTTCATGTGTTTCAATGACCTGAGTATTCAAGGGGATAGGGGGGATGGTGTGATATGTCGCTTGCCCAGACGCCTTTGTTTCCCTAACTTGAGTCAGGTACCCATTAGGACTGGGTGGACTCAGGGATTTCCAACAGACTCGAGCCCGAACTTTTATTTAGGGTTAGGTTTTTCTTGTAGGTGAGTAATGTCGTGCGTGTGTGCGTTTGCGTGTGGGTTTGTGCGTGGGTCTAAAAATATATTTTGAATGCGAGTTGTGGGAAATGTGAGTTAGGTGTGTGTCAGTGTGGGTCTGTGTGTTTTTTTTTTTTAATAGTTTGGATTGGGGTTGGGGAAATGTGTGAGTTTGGAAAGGGGGGGGGGGGGGGTAAAAATATTGTGGATGCGAGTGTGTGAGAATGTGCGTGATCGAGTGTATGTGTGTGTTGTGTGTGAGGTAATTGGACGGCGTAGACAGCTGGTATAAGAGCTAACCACTAAACAGAAAGGCTCGCTTTCGGATCACTGCCTTGAGTTAGTTGTGGGTCACTGAGGTCACCCAGCTATTTATGAGTACCTGGGTCATTTCAGGCTAAGAAATGGCGGTTATGCATAATGTTGACCAAAACTACCCCTTTAAATGCCGAGGTTACAGAAACAAGTGAGCTCTACTTCATCTGCGTCGTGAATCTCTGAGGGTACTTTACTGGCTTTATCTGTGTGGTTGTCAATATGAGATTTTGTGTGTGTGAAAGAGTTTTTTTGAATGCGGGTTGACTGTCCTAGGACTCACTCTCTCTCTCTCTCTGTGTGTATGTGTGTGTGTGTGAAAAATGGTGTAGATTATTTACTCAAGTTAACAGTATGAGTGTTTATACGTGTGTGTGTTTGAAGGTTTACACATGTGTGTGTGTGTGTGTGTGTGTGAAATGGTGTAGGTTCTTTACTCAAGTTAAAAGTATGAGTGTTTATACGTGTGTGTGTGTTTGAATGTTTATACATGTGTGCGAGACGACGAAGAGTTTGCGCATGCGCGTTTTTTGTTGTTTCTGAACAAGAACGATAACTCTCGAGATGAAAACACGACAGTTGTCCATAAATATTGTATGAGCATCGAACAGTTGGGCGGGGCAGGGGTTGGACGTAGGTTGGGTTATTTTAATTGGAAACACTCTCCAGTTGTAGTGGTAAAGATGTTCTCTTTATACAGAGGCGTCTCCTAGTGTTTGGTCTGAAGGGGTGGTCACAGAGTACGGGGGGGGGGTACCTGGATATTGGACTAACGGCATTAATAACTAGTGGACACGAATAGATAGCAAGTTTTTTTTATTTATTTTAATACTGGATAAAAAGTTTATAAGACCTTGTTAATTGCGGTAGTTTTTTTTTTAAAAGAATAATTGGACAATGATAATTAGTGTACGTGTGTGGGTGGAGTTTAGAAAAAAATTACAAACTTTATGAAGTTTATGTACATTAAATACAGCCCATTCCACTGTATCCATATACACTTGGACATATATTTTAGCCCTTATAAGAGACTGGTCCGATTATGCGACTTTAAAAGAATAGGATTTTTCTTTTTACACTTTTGCCAAAAGAAACGATTGCTACAATTAACATGTGTCCCGATTATGCGAAATCGACTTTATTCCTGTCTACATTTTATTTTAGAGATTAAAGAGTATACTTTAAAAAAAAACAACTTTCAAAGCCTAATTTCGATTTACGGCGGTCATTGTTGTCTGTTTGTCGTCACATGCGCGTTGTTACCTATAGATAGAGAAAATAGAGACGTGTAGGCAGTTATTGTGAACACAAAATGTCCAGGCTAGACCAAGCAACTCATATCAGACTAAGTACCTGCAATTGACTTTTTCATAATCTTTCTCTATCCTCTGCTGCTTTTAGTAATTTTGCATCGGGCAGCCAAATCCATTCCTTGATCTCCATACTTTGACTTCCCTCGCCTTCAGCCCACTACCCCCATAGCGACCAGCGTTTCTTTCAGACGTTTTTCTCCGGGGGCGGTGGGTATTTTTTTCTAAATAAATTATATTTCTTTCGGGTGAGAAGCCTGAAAGAAATACTGTTTCCGGCACCTGTGTCCTACAACGATAGTCATTGATAAGACATCGAATCAAGTCACGTCCTTTGCCTTAACGATACTTGACAAATTCTCACTAGAACCAATCTTTAAGGTATTCTTTCGTGGGCCTATTCTTTTTATATACGAAATGTGTGCTAGATTCCTAGCGTCAACTATCCTAACTACAGCAACATCATAAACAAGAAG